TTCCGCTCTCTACACAGCACCCTTACTGCCTTGTTGGAGACAAACGATAGCTGGTGTGTCAATATTGATAGAGATCTTCTTAATGGTGTAATCTTTATTGATTTGAAGAAGGCCTTTGACACTATTGACCACGAGATAATTCTAAAAAAGATTACAAAGTATGGCGTTGATCAAGACACCCTGAAATGGTTTAAATCTTACCTGACTAACAGTATGCCAAAGTGTAACGTAAACAATCATCTATCTAGCGCGAGCCTTCTAAATTTTGGCGTACCTCAAGGGTCAATAATCGTTCCTTTTTTTTCTTGATCTATATAAATGATCTACCAAATTGTTTGAATGTGGGCTCTCCTAGAATGTATGCCGACGACACTAATGTTACCTTTTCTGCAGCTACTATACCTGATCTTGAGTCCCAAATCAATAGTGACCTGAAATGTATTGATCGCTGACGTTAGACGAAGACCTTAGAAACGCTACAACTGTAAAGGCCTTTAAGAAAGCCCTGAAACTTGTAATGAATGAATGATTGTATGACAGTTAGCATTTAACGATATTAGCTTGTTAGATATAGTTTGCATTTATATTTGTAAATAGGTACTGAAAAACCTTTTTTGGGAGTATTTATTAAAGTTTTATTTATTTTTATTTTATTTAAATGTCAAAAAAGTCTACTAGACACTACTTTGATATCGCTCAACTGGAAAGTCATGGACCAAACCATGCCGACCATAATCCACCTAAGCAGGTGCGCGTATCATGCGCGGTATCAACAAGAATTTTGCAAGAAATTTACTCCTAGCTAACCGATGTAGTATTTTTTTTCAGTGACAAATTTTTACAAAAAAGGCGCCTCGCCTTGTGCTGGTAAATATTCCTGTACCAGCTCAAAGAAGAACGTTTTAAAAGCTTTTTTTGATATCACGTTTTATTGTAAACAAGCCTGTAAACTGGTAGTTGTCAGGAGCCCATAACCCGGAGCGTCTAACTTCCATACTGCGCCTATGCAACGGCGTTTTCACAAGTAGGTTTATTTTTAGATAAGCCTTTCCCGCGAATTGCTTTCGAAAAGCCAATCACAAGCAAGTGTGTCGTCAATAATAAACTTTTAATGCGTAACCAGGACAACTCCTTCACATTGACAAAAAAGCATGGCGGACGCACGTGAGGAATCTTCTGAGGATTCTTCTGACAGTACTTCAAGCAACAATTTCACTATTTACACGGAAACTAGCCGTTCAGAGGAAGATCTGCAAAACGTAGAAGAGCCTGGGACGTCTACTTCATCGGCGACAACGCATAAATCACGCAAAGGGAAATCGAAATCATCTTCGAAACAGCCGACTGTGAAAAGGTTCAAGCGACAACAGTCCATTTTCGCGGGAAAGCCTTATCTAAAAATAAACTCACTTGTAAAAACGCCGTTGCCCGAATTAATGGCAGTTGAACGCTCCGGGTTATGGGCTCCTGTAGTTGTGTATTAAAGGAAAGCAAAAACGTTATTTTGTATGAAGTTTTAAAAACCATATGATCCTGTGTGCGTAATTGTCAAAATGGTCACCCTACGCCCCTGCCAACAAGACCTTTTCAAGTACAGTGACGGCCATTTCCACGGCTAATCAATGCGTAAAGTGAGCACCGGCAGGCGTGAGTATTTTCCGCACTGTTTTAATCCTCAGGCGTGATAACGCAATACCCAGCATGTTGTGACGTCACGATCAATTTGTGCATAAATATTTCATTCAGCTATTCACTTTTACTTCACTTTTCACACCAGATGTACGTTGTTTTGCTTCAATAACTAAACCAGTTTACGGAGGATAGACACTATGTTAATTTGGTTTGATGAGCACCTTTTCTTTTCAGAAAACATCAGAGCTGTGTCGCGAAATTTATCAAAATGGCAAACAGGGGAAACCGCCACCAAAAATGTCCCCAAAATACTTGTGCTCAAAACACACTTCAAAGAAAAAGATTAAATAATACATTAAATATAAAAGGAGAAACGGATGGACAAACTTTAGGAAGGCTGAAACGGATTATAATTGTGGCTTTCGGACTTGTGAGCCTAAATTTGTAAGCCCAATTTTAGAATTAAGTGTCTCCGCGATGGAAAAAACATGCCTGAATTTATGGCTTTTAACTCATTGTCAGCAGGCAAAAATCAGGGCAAAATTGACGACTTTCATATTTTTATTAATATCTCTGCAGGTACAGTTACAGCAGTGTTTCAAGCTTCATCCTATTTGAAAGAGGGATAAATTAGCTCTATAAAAATGATTAATTTCTCTCCATACATTCAATACAGTTTTCAAAAAAAAAGTCAATTGTGAGAAAATTTGCATATTTTATGCAAAAAATCCAAGATGGACTCCATTTAGTCCAAAATGAAGTGTCTTTACAAGATATGTTAATATGGAAAGTATTCAAAAAAGTGTTATGTGCATCATTTTTCCTACGTACGATTACAATGAGGCTTTATCTGCACCTTCTCTCACGACGTTAAATGAGAGACGGGCGCGAGTCCACCTGTGTCAGGTCTACGTTGCGAGATTACAGAACGAAAACCACCCGTTACACATTATTCTTCCTAAACTGGAGGAAGTTCAGCATGATTATCAACTGAAGTCAGGAGCTAGCTACCGCTTACGCCCAATTTGTAAGACCAAAAGACCAAGCGCACTCAAGGTTTTATCACTTTTAAGTATTAAATGTCGTTAGTTCGTAATTTTTTAAGAAGCTTTGCGATTTATTATCTATTTTTGTACATATTATCATACGAATATAAGTAGCTCTGAAATTCACCCTTATATTTACAATGTCAGTATTGCTGCAATGAGTTTCTTTAATAAACAGTCATTATTATAAAAGGGAGCTAGGCCAAACATGCGAGTTGATGAGTTATCCACAGCGATTCATTGGGAAAAATTCGAAACGCTTAAGATAAAAGTCAGCTGAAAAGTCAATCACGCTAAGAAAACTTAAGGACATAATATTTGCAGAAATCTTGTGCATACTTTACAAAGATAAAACTTATGACTATCCAACGTGATGGACACCGGTTGTTAGCCTGTACGATGAGAATTTTTCTAACAAACAAACAACGGCAAATATCAGTCATTAGCATTAGGATGCCTCATTTCCCAGGAAATATTTTCCTGTTCAGTTGCATCATAGACTTCCCGTATTTCCGAGAATCACACATTGCACGAATTAAAGACACCTTTGATCCTAAAAAGACATCATATGTAGTATTCAATTCAGCCAATAAGAACACGCTGGGGCCGGCATTGCCGGTGTTCAGGCGAAGTTTAGCTCGCGCGAATCACGTTTCCGTAAAGGTGGGGGAGGGGAGGGGGAGAGGGGGTACAACATGTAGAAAGTCCTCGACCAGTTCTTTTGAATTATGCGCGTAGGAGTTACCATTTTTCGTTCTTTGAAAATAACACTAAAAGAGAAAGTCTTTTTTGACTTTGTTTTTTGACCTTCATCTTCATCGGTTGAAGTGTCTTTAGATTTAAAAGCCCTGAAAACATTGAGGGATCGAGCAGTGCTTAATAAGTGCGGCCAAAACCAGTATCTGATCACGTACTAAGTACGACTGGTCGAGCTGGTACGAACGACTTGAAGCACCGTCAGCACACACGTTGGCACAGGGGCCCGGAAACTTCTTTATTTTGCGACATATATTCTTACCATCTCAGACTAGATCAAGGCCTCTTCAGAAAAGACCAAGAAAGCACACAGGTAAGTTTTCAATCCTCGCACTAATTTTGATCATGGTACTGAATTTGGAAAAGCTAGACAACATTTCTTTATAAAAATAAGATGACAGGAACAGTATTAAGAGGCCTTGTGGGATTTTAAGATTTTACCTGCCAAAATACAATTACAATCAGTTTAGTCTCATCTGCGCTCCATTTTAAATGCTTGGTAAGCGATATGTAATACATGACTGTTCGATGTTTAAAGTATTCATAATTGTCCGACGCACCTTCGGGAGCGGTTTCGTAGGACCTGTGAAATTCATGACTATAATTTGAGGGGTTCTAACCATGATCTCCAACGGGACCACTACCTAAAACACATTTTCTTAAGGGTTCGTTTTCTTATCGGGATGCAATGGCTTGGAACCAACTGTCAAATCAAACGCGTGAGATGGGGGATCTTACTAGCTTTAAACTCGCGATATCCTAGGATATTACGTAACTTTTTATTATGTTTTTATCGTATTTCTTTAATGACTCATTTAATTTCTTGTTATTATATTGTATTTCAAATTATTACTATTTTTTACTAGTATTATTAGTCTCGCTTACCATACAAACTAGATAGTCACGTTTATGAGAGTTGACACGAACAGATAAAATTGTCAATTCTTGTGCTAATTATTATCACACTGCATGTTTGAAAACCAGCTTGCTGAGCCATTTACCGCCGTATTTAAATAAAGTTGATTGATTTATTGATTGATTTTTCATTTGGAGGAAAAACCTGCTGTCATATAGGGACGGACCATTAGAAAAATTATGGGGGGGGGGAGGGGAATTTTTGAGCCGCAGGAATTTTTTTTCGTTATCATATTCCTTGTATGAATTTTTTTTAGGCCTTAGCATGAATATCTTATAGGGTTAATTGGCGTGCATGAATTTTTTTCATTCAATTTTGCCTTGCGCGAATATTTTTTTTGTCCTTCCCCCCCCCCCCCCCCCCTCCCCCATACGTTTTCTAATGGTCCGTGCCTATATGAGAACAGATTATAGCAAGCTAGTCACATCAATTCATTTAGTCTATTTCGCCTTTTTGTAAAGCATACTTCTTTACGCGAGAAATATTTAGGCACATGAGTAATCTTCGCTGCACTTTTCGGAAGATGGCCTGAGTTGAACTGTCATTAATTATAATCTGGTGATACTGTTAAATCCCTTTATTTTTAGATTAAACAATGGATGCAAAGTTCGTTATGGTATTCCTGATTGCGGTCGTTTTTGTGTGCATAG